GTTAATGGGGAGTAGTATGGGACCCATAGTCGGGGAGAAAATTGCCCGTTTGATTGAATACGCGAAGTTGGGATCATAAAAGTTAGTTGGGAAATTGTGAATTTGGATTTTACCGATAGTGCAACTTCTGTACTTTGACAGTGTATAACTCACAAACTGTAAGTCAGAATAAACTCGTATTTTGCAGTTAGAAAGCCCTTATTATATACTACAACTTTCATGAAAGGTCGAAAAGCCAGTTATTACTCTAAGTGGTTCGAAACAATGTGTGTTCCGGGGCTGTTTCCACCCTATTCAGGATTAATATGTTGTTTTGTAAAATTCGTATAAAATATATGGATAATCAAATTGATGTTGGTGGATTCATATATCAAAGGTAATATTGATTTTTATTAATTTAATATATAAATGTGATCAACGGCTCATTTAGCTAACTTCAATAATTTAAAAAAAAATATCGTCATCGCGCAACGCGCGATATCAAACACTAGTTATTAAATATTACCACACATTCTTAAATCTGATATAATTCAAGTTCACAACTTATTACTGTATACATTTTAAGTTCCACGTTTGAGCTTCATAATACTGATTGCTAGACACGTTCAAGATAAAAATTGAATTCTACTAATACAACAAAAATACTGTATATACCAAATAACCGATCCAAGACTCTTTTCACTCTCGAAACAACACAAATCCATAAAATAAAATAGAGAAAATCAGATAATAAAACAAATTATAAATTAAGCTTAAAAGTTTGAGTTATCAGCTTTAAAATCGAGATATATCACGTTATTACAGTAATAAATATCATCACATGTTTTTAATATCATAATTCATACATCTAGATTACAATCAAGAAAATATAGATACATCCTATAGATCACACACATTTTATGTTAATTTTGACTTTCGGAACGTAGTCAAACCCGAAGCGATCGGAGTACAAACAAGCGTTCTCTGATCTAAATCCTGGACCAATTTTACACCGATAACGGTTAATTAGCCGAGTAACAAATCATGTAACCGACCGCATTTCACAAATCAACACCCAAACCACAAAAGCCAAACAAAAAGCCATCATAAATTCGTGACGAAATCGAGCTAAGGATACCTCATGTTTAATGGTTGCGGAGGTTGCGAATTCGATTTCTTCTTGTTCTGTTTTAAAGGCAGCGATACGTGAATGAAACCGAACTTTTTCCTTTGTGTGAAAAACTGCTTATCGATTCGTCCTTCTTTATCCGCTTTTCGAGATTCGTGAAATATAAGCCCGCTTTGTTCACGAAGCATTTCACTCAAAGATACATCGTCTCTACGACTCTGGCTTTCAACATCCTCTCCAACGACTATATTATCTTGTAGGATCAGTTTCCTGCTCAAAATATCGCCGATTGAGACACTTGATCGTAAAACCGGCCTTGATTCTTTGTTGATCACGTTTGAATCATCCCCCATCAGCGGCCCAAAGTTTCTAGGAGCGTGACCGTAAAACGGGTACGGATTTCTGGTTTTGGGATGATTATGAGTCGATTTTCTTGTCTGAATATCGTCTGATCTTTCCCGGAAAAATCCGTTTCTGGATTCGAGGTTTCTTCCGTTTGCAGCATCGGATCTAGGCCCTGCTTGTGAACGAGCATGTAAGTTACGGCTAGCAAATATCTCTTTTGTATCGAGTCGCTATATAGCATGTACGTATAAAGATCGAAGCTAATAGTTCTTAAAAACATTGCAACAAAATCGGCTTCGTCAATTACGTCTTAATTAACTGGTTTTTAGGACTTCAATTTATAGAACCAAATAACTAAATCGACTTTATAAGTTATCAATTTGGGTTGCGTTCAGGTGAGAATGGAAGTTATGGTGAGAAGGGTAAGGAGGAGTCCCCACCTTTGGATCAATCATAATTAAAGATAAACAGTAATGAGATGCACCAGATCAATTCTTGTATCAGCATAGTTCATGGGATGGGGGAGTTTAAAAGTGATCAAGGGTCCAGATCTCTTCTCAAGTTTCTCACCTTAACTCTTATTCTCACACAATCCTTCGTCCTATCAACTTATTGTAACACTTTTATATAGGATGTACAATTATTCGGTCGTGTAAACTTATGTTATATAAATCAGTCTATTAGCACATTTAGACATATTTAACAACCTATGTAGCCAAGTTTATTGCAGTGTAATTAGCAAGAATTTCAAAGAAATACCTAGAGCCTCTTCAAGGGTTTTTCTGCTTCTTCTCGCATCATCGGCGTGTTCGATCGAGTTCTTCAGAAATGCCATTGTCGACAAATTAGCATCTTTCCGATGGTACGACAACTCGTTTCCACCATCATTTTTCTTGCAAATTTCTTCGGCTTTTTGCGCCTTTTGAGCAAGTGCAGAGTACTCTTCATACGAAAGCGTTATTCCTTCACGAATCAACGGCTTATCGCCGTTATTCTCAGCATTTGCCACAGCTTCCATGGCTCTTGCAGCTTCCTCCATCTTTTTAGCTGCAATCAACCTCATTTCCACCATTCTTATACTCATTTTCGTGTGCTCGATCTCCGAAGTCGCCTTGATCACCTCATACTGCGCGGCCTCTTCCATTTTTCTAAACTGCTGTGCTTCGAATGTCAATCCGTGGGAAATATCGACCGTTTCTTCAATCACACGCTTAGTTTCGCCTTCTTTATCCAGCAAATTTGCTTTATGGGTTCTCAATTTCTTGTTCAAAGATTCAACCGAAGCCCGGATCAATGCAAGATCGTTGGTCGTCTTGTTTAGATTCGATTTAGCCGCTTTGAGCTCCGTTAAGATGATCCCAGGAGGCAATGGAACCGGGCACAAGGTGAAGCTAGCCGATGACTGGTCAACGGGGGTCGTGGTTCCGGAATCGGGATTGGAATCGAGGGCTGTGATGACTGTGGAAACTTCTTTCATTAGGTTGATTTTTAATCCTTCCATGACTCCTTTTGCTGACTCCAGATCTCTCAACACCTCCAGTGTTTCTTGTTCTTTGATGATGAGTTCTTTTTCTAGTTCTGCAGCTTGTTTTTCTACTGTTTCCATGTCCATTTCTTCAACATCATGCTGTTAGAAACACAAGATCTAGTAGTTAATTTAGGGGCTATTTCGCAGTTGCTGAATGGTTCGGTGCAGAATGAATAAGTGGTCAGAATGATTAAGAGACTCTCATGATATAGTGCAAAATGAAATATAATGCTTTGGTAATTGTTTATAATGAAATTAGGGCTCTTAACGGTTAAGGGAGGCCTATGATACAAAATCATTCGGAGGGTTTTAGAACCATTAAAAGCCAGACTTTTTTTAACCAAACAAGATTCACCTCTTAACGGTTCAGAGGTTGCCTCTTAATGGAACTATTAAAAGATAAACAAACAACCCCTTACCGTTGGTTTTTCAACCTAACCACAATCGTTTTACTGATATTTTATAGGCACTGGGCGTATATAATAAAAGAGGATTCGACAAGTAAAAAAAATCTTCAATTAATAGCCTCTGAACCTTGGTACTTAATAAAAAAACTCAGGGTTCGTTTGGTTTTACATAAATGAAATGGATTTGGGGGATTTGGATTTCAAATCCATTCCAATCCTGTGTTTGGTTCGTAGGATTGTCCGAATTCGAAATCTTAGGATTCAACTGAAATTTCTTATTCGATGGATTTGGAAATCCGTAGGAGAGGGTTGGTATTTCAAATCCCAATCCGAGCGGATTTCATAAAAAGTACATCGCTTCTTTAACGTGTGTATACGTAGAGATCTCTAACACTATTAAAGTTACGACTTTTTCTAGCGGATTTTTCCGCCAGTAAATTACCGGCGAACATGGAAAAAGTCGACTTTCGTTGACGTCAACCACAAAACCACCACTGATTATTTAAAAGAAAATGAAAAAAATTCTAGTTACTTTTTCGGTGGATAAGTAAATTTATTTATTAATTAAAAGTAATTAGTTTTAATTAACTAAATTAACAACAGAACTTAATTACTTATTTCTTTGATTAAAATATGTTTATAATCCCTCGGTAATTTTAATTAATCAAAATTAATTAATTATTTTTTTAATTTAAAAAACATGATTGTGGTTTTACCGGGGACACCCCTATCCACCGATAATACCAAAAGTATTTCATTATTAAAAAAAACATGATGTTAGTATTACCGGCAAATGAGGGTGTCTACTGGTAATACCGAAATCATGTTTTATTATATTTTTAATAATAAAACATTTTTTGGTTTGCCAGTGGATTGTCGACAGAAGGGGATGTCCGTCGACAATACCAGAATCATGTTCTTTTTTTGTTTTTTAATGAATATTTTTCCCATTGACTACTGATGGACACCCCCATTTGTCAGAAACTACGATCTCTGTAATTTTTTTAACATCCCCATCCACCAGTGATTATATACAGTTTTCAAAAAATCGATCTTTATTTAGTTATTGAGTAAAAAGAGTTCGCTACCTATCTGCATAAATCTTGTTTTAACAAAAAGGTAACTTACGAATAAAAGTAAAATTCTTTATAAACAAACAAATAATTACAAAAAAGAAAATTTAAATCCAATTCTTACAAACCAAACATAATTTATAAATTAATAGAATTCAAATTCATTCCAAATCTTACATACCAAATCCATTCCAATTCAAATCCAAGTACCTCCATGAAATCCGAATCCTTCAAAACCGAACGTTACTTTAGGTTCCGTTTGGTTTGTATGATTGGATAGGATTTAGAGGAATTTGGAATTCAATTCCATTCCAATCCCATGTTTGATACGAGAGATTGCATGGATTTGAAATATCTGGATTTCATCATATTTGTGGGATTTAAAATATCTTGTAGGACTAGTTAGTATTTCACGAGATTTAGTAGATTTGTTTGTAATAATGTTCTAAAATATTTTAAAAACACTTGTTTTGTAATAATAAAAAAATAAATTTAATTAATTTTATAGTTTGTTTACATATATCTATACTATATTATAAAACATTTGATAAAAACTTTTAAAAATAATTTTTTATGCATAAAGTACCGTTTATTGATACATATTACTTAAAATTCAAGATTACAAGTAAATTGTGCATATGTACAACTTAATAAAGCTTCATGTTTTAATTCGTGTAACTAACTACATGTAAACATAATCAAATACTGGATAGTTATCTCATTTTAAATATAAAAATTTAAAATATATTTAGAATAATTATCGAATTATAACAAAATTCTAGTTATTATCTTTATAAAAAAACCTATATCATTAAATCTAGAATAAATGACTTCCTTATTAAATCTAAGTTATAATAAAAAAATTTGAATTAAAAAAATTATACAAAAAAAAATTAAAAAAATTAATTTGATGCTAAAATCGATATTTTTATAATAAAAAAATTATTATACTTTCAAATTTATATATTATTCAAAAAATAAAACATTATCGTTTTTTCAGTACCACATAAAATCGTATTATAATATCGATGGAGACAAAACAAAATGAAACATTAAAAACGAGATGTATCTCACTGCATTACGCGAGTACCATTCTAATTATTAATAAAGAATGAAATCTAGTTCTTATTCTAAATTCTACAAACCAAACACATAAAAGATATCAAATGATTCCACTTTGAAATCTCTTAAAAACATTTCGTCAAATCAAACACGTTCTTAAATAAACAATAAATAGTACAGAAAAAAAGTTACCATTTATTCTTTTTCATATATTTCCCTGTAACATAATTATATGTATCTCACTGCATTGCGTGAATACCCTTCTAGTATGTTTTTAAACTATTCTTATCAACTAAATTTCTTTGGGACTCTTATTATTTTGGGGTTCTTCTATATGTACTAATTGTTTTTGTACTAATATATGGAAAAAAGAATAGGGGCCCTAACTTTAATAGACAGAGATGTTACTTCATAAAGTAACTGATAGTGGTTGCTCTTGTCGATAAACGTCAGGTAAACATCCTAACTGTTAAGATCACCAGTAATACATACAAAATAAACAGGTAATTCTATTTATACTCTATTTTCTAAGAGTGAAGAGAGATTATAAAACATAGGTATATATGGGATGTACAAATAGCAATCCAGGTTTGCATGATGTCAATAACTTACCAATTAAATTATTAATTTTTAGTTTTTTTTTTTTTTTAGATAAAATGTATCAAAATGTAATAAAACTTTGTTTAATTTTAACTTATAACCATCTTTTACATTCAATGACACGTCCATACCAAATTGTAAACCACATCGTCAAATTGATTACCAAATCAAATTATACTAATATATATATATATATATATATATGACTAATCAAATGAGAACTGAATAGTTTGTGTTAACTGTGAGTTCTAATCTCAGCCACAAATCAACGGATAAATAAGAAAATTAATAATTATGATAGTTTGAGTTAAAATTATAATTAGAGGACATATTAGGTATTTTTAAAAAAATTCTCTTTCCTCTCTCATCTCTCCGACCTCCAATCTCCTGCCTTCGGTGAACATCGGTATCACAATATATCATAATGTGTATCACATTGTGTATATTTTTAATGTTTGAGTTGGTATCATAGTTGGTATCACAGTATATCACAATGAGTATCATATTGTGTATCTTTGTGATTACTTGGTACCTGCCGGATTAATGAAGGCCGGAGATTGGAGGTCGGAGAGATGAGAGAGGAGAGAGTAGAGAGGAGAGACGAGAGACGAGAGAGGAGTTTTTTAAAAATAACTAAAATGTCCTCTAATTATAATTTTAACTCAAACTATCATAATAATTATTTTCCTAATTTATTCGTTGATTTGTGGTTGAGATTGGATCTCACAGTTACCACAAACTAATCAGTTCTCCCTTAAATGAGCTCTCTCCCTCTCTCTCTCTCTCTCTATATATATATATATAGAGAGAGAGAGAGAGAGAGAAAGAAGATCGATCAAATGCAAACCATCCAATTTGTATAAACCATGCAAACCACCCTCATCTGTCGATTTCATTGTTTTATTTTATGAAATTTTTTCATGAAATTGTTTAATCTTGTAAAATTATTTCATATAATACTTTTTTGATGAAGATGTTTCATATATGGTTATGAAATTGTTTCATATAATACTTAATGAAATTTTAATGAAATTGTTTCATGTATTTCTCTAAAATTAAAATAATGAAGATAATAATATCTATGATTAATACACTCCACAAAAAAAAATATTAATCAACCTCTCATAATTACAAAAAAATGAAAAATTATGATTAATTAAATGAAGTTTGCACGATTTATACAAAATTGAGTGATTTGCATTTGATCGCTCATCTCTCTTTATATTCCCAATATTTATGTATTTAATAGGTGCGAATGAGAGGGCGGTTGTCGTCGGTGTGGGACAAATATGTAATTTGGTGAAGGTCGAAGCTGTTAGGTTGAGATCGTCACCTTTTTGTGTATTTATTAAAATTTAATAAATAAAAACCACAAATTAAATATTATTTTTAAAACAACAATTCAGTTGTACGTCTTCAATAAATACGATTTTACTCAACAGAATACGTAATAATCTGAAGGCATCATCGTCTCAACATTTCACGAAATTCATAATAAAAATTGAAGATATATATATATATATATATATAATATATGAGAGTGTGTAGAGAAACTGACACCGGCGAGTCGAAGAACATGGAGTGGAATCCATGAACCACTTCCACCGAATCGAGTGACAGCCTCCTTCACCGACCCGAACGGTGGCGATGTATCGATCTCAACTCGAGGATTCATCCGCTTCCTGATCTCTGATTCGGCCCCACTTCTTAGGGTTTCTTCAGCCATGGAATCGAAGCAATGGTGGATTTTGAGATTAAAAAAGGGGGGGTGATGAAAATGATGATGAAGAAGGAGAAGAGGAAGGTAATAATGGTGTTGGGAGAGGGGTCCCAGCGTTAATGGCGGGTTTGGAGTCTGTAAATTCAGTGAGTGTGGGGGGAAAAAGAAAAGCATGGATGGAATAGTGCGTGGGAGGAGGGACAAAAGCGAAACAAATGAAGATCCGCCTTCAAAGTTGTTCCTCCTTTTTCTCTTTTCCTTTTCCGCCCTTTTTTTTATTTAAAAAATTCTTATCAGCATTTTATGTTTGATTTGATAAAAAAGAGTATCAGTCGACTTCTGATTTCAGTAAAGTGACGTTTGTTTTTTAAGAGGTGTTGAAGTCTGATTTCACTTCTGATTTGTAAGAGATGGTGCTGAAGTCTAAAATCTAGATCGATAAGACTGTTTGTTTTTATGTCTAAAGTCTGAAATTTGAACAAGTCATACTAGTGCAAATATATAAAAGACAAATAGTTTTTTTTTCTTTTTTCCAAAAGTATAAAAAATTAATTTTTACTTACAAATCTCTTCTAGCCCCCAAAATATGAAGAATTTGATAGAGGGCGGATTAAGATTAAAGTGACGTTTGTTTTTTTAAAGGTGCTGAAGTCTGAATTCACTTCTGAATTTTAAGAGGTGGTTTTGAAGTCTGAAATCTGAATCAGTCAGACTGTTTATTTTTACGTCTGAAGTCTGAAATCTGAATCAGCCAGACTGTTTATTTTTACGTCTGAAGTCTGAAATCTGAATCAGCCAGACTATTTGTTTTTACGTCTGAAATCTGAATCAATATAAACACGAACCTTCACAACGAGAGATGCTTGGACGGAGAGGCAGTCGAGAGATCGAGAGCTTGGACGGAGAGGCAGTCAAAAAATCGTGAGCTGTTGACATCGAGAGCTAAGAGCGAGACCTTAAAATCGAGAGCTGAGAGCGAGATGGAGATGGAGAAATCGAGAGTTGAGAGCGAGATGGAGATGGAGAAATCGAGAGTTGAGAGCGAGATGGAGATGGAGAAATCGAGAGTTGAGAGCGAGATGGAGATGGAGATGGGATGCGGCTCTGAAATTGATTTCAGACATAGGATTCCCACTTAATTTTAAGAGGACGGTAAGAGGTAAAAAAACTCTTAATTTAAAAAAAAAACAAACAGTCTGAAATCACTTATGTCTGACCAATTAAGAGTTAAGAGGCAATTAAGTGAAAATTTTAAAAAACAAACAGGCCCTAAGAGGTATAAGAGATACATTTACCACTTAAAATTCAGAGGACATTTAGAGCTTTTAAGCTCTTATTTAGAAGAAAAAAAACGTTCTTAATACCCAAAGTCTAAGCGAATTAGACTTCAGGGGTATTAAGAGACAATTTAAAAAAAAAACATACACACAGGCCCTAACCCTTATTAGCCTCTTGTTGCTTCTCCAGTCCCTCAGCAGTGGGCGTTTCTCTATCACTCTTCTCTCAATCGATTAATCTTAATCGATCAGTACCTGATTGATCATTTCTCTTAATTGATCATTACCCATTTGAATGTCAAATTGGATGGTTTGCTGCTCCTAATATCAGTAATTTAAAATACGAAATATGTGTCATATAGGATTTCACATTTGAAGTTTGTAATGATGATGAATAAATAGATAAAATCGTATAAATGTATATAAATTCAACATTATAATATTTTGAAGGGTAAAATAGAACAATTATATAGATTCAAACATCTTTCGGATTACAAAAAACAAAACTATCTTATTGATTATGATTTCACATTTCAACACCACCTCTTATCAATCAGAAGTGAAATAAGACTTCAGACTTCAGCACATCTTAGAAAACAAACAACACCTTAGACTTTAGATAATGAGACTAAATATTTTGAGAAATTAAAAAAAAATATATGTTAATTATTGAAATTTTAAGAAAAACAATTATTTGAAGACATATATCTGAATCAACGTTACAATTTATTCATATGGGTTCACGTATAAATATTCAAATGAATTTTTTCAAATTGATATATGAATCTTCCCTTTCTACTACTCTCACGATATTTAAGCTTCTTATTACCGGACCCATCCAACATACATCATTTACAACAAGGTGAAGAATCGTGTAAGAAAGGAAGTTACAGTGAAAAAACGTAAGAAGATATCTCATGAACCCTTGATCACTTTTAATCTCATGTCCACCCATGAATTACGCTTAAGAAAATAATTTGATCCGGTGCATCTCAGTATATCTTATTAGTATTAACATTCAATTAGGATTAATCCAATGATGAAGATCTCTTCTTAAATTGATGAAGATCTCTTCTTAAACTTCTTACCATAACTTTCATTCTCACCGGAACCCAACCCTGTAAACAAAATAATCATGTAAAAACCCCGTATTACTTTTTAATAATATTTTTATTTTTTCCCATTTATTATATTCTTATTGAAATGTTAAAAACATAATATTTTATGACAAATATGACCTTGGGCAATGCTTTTTATATTATATAAATTGACGTTAATAATAATAATAATAGTAATAATAATAATAATAATAATAATAATAATAATAATAATAATAATAATTATAGTTGAGTAATTTACGAATATAGAAGAAAAGGGTAAAAAGGGAATGATGGGGGATAATATATGGAAAATGATTGGCAAACCACCAACATATTCATGTTAGACAAGACTACCAACCAAAACTCCACATGCATCAACTAATTATAAAATTACCATTTTACCTTTTTTTTTTACCAAACTTGTAATCATCTTTATAATGATTAATTACTATTTGATTACAAAAATACAAAAAATTAATATAACGATTATACACGAAAATAATTTTGTTAAAATACATATAAAAAAATAATTATTTACGAGTAACGTGATTGTAACAGTTGCTTCATACCATTGTCATGAGACGTATATGAAATGACTAAAAAACATGGACAGATATATATGAGGGATACCTTTTGAATCTAGTTTGAACTGAATATTAGTATGCAGTATAACAAAAAGCTATTGCATGTCCACCCCTTTTTTTCTACTGACGAGCAATGACATCTTACTTAACTCACACCTCTAAAACAGGTGGTCGGCTCGCATAGTGAGTTGAATATCCAGGTAATTAAAAAAAACATCAAACTGTAATAACTAAAACAGTGAAAGTCTTATACCATCTTAACAGAACTCCAAGTGACTTGGACAATCTTTAAGGCTAATATAATCAAATATTTCGGCATTACGAAATCGAATTTGTATAAGAAACAGTCAACATAACTTGAATTATATTAAGTTTAGTAGCCTTAGTTCATGTTTGTTAGCAGCTTAATAAGCTTAATGAGACTCACATCTTGTTTGATCAACTATATATGACTGTTTGATAGTGACTTAATAATATACTAATTGTGTCTCCGTGCAATGCGGCGGGAGCCATGAATTTTAACGATTTTGAAGTTCCATTGGTTTTATAAGATAAGATTTAACGATGATATAAGTTACACTTGGTCTTTACATATTAATACAATTTGAATAAATAAGAGTTATGGTTCAAATTACAGATTATCGATGAAAAAAATTGTATGACAGTTTAAAATCTAATATATTTAAAATCCAACATATTTAAACGACTCCACAAATGTATTCGATTTACAKCAAGAGCAAAGAACCAAGAAACTTGAGTTTTAAGATAAACACTCAAAACCAATAAAGAAAACTACAAATTTGACAGATCATAAGCCATGAAAAGACAAAAA